ACGCGCGGCGCGGCCTCGCCGGGCCCTGCATAAAAAGTAACAATATTTGGGCAGAGGAAGGGGCAGCCTCATCCCTCAGCCAGCGGAGGAATGTGGGGACCGAGTCACAACTGCCCCTCTTTTCATCCGACTCCACAGGGCTTGGGTTCGCTCTGAGTGTGCATTTTGCTCATTGCAGCCTCGGTTTTAATGAGAGTCTTTAACTCCCCCGAGACTGTGTGCAGGTTACAGCCTTATCTGGAGTCCCTCGCTTTCTTCCACTCTGCCTACACACCCCGTGAACAATCGCTTCTCCGACGCTTTTCAGGAGAGCGAGAGCCCCACTTCTGCTGAATGCCCGGCTCAGTTCATCCCAGGCAGGCGGGCTTTTGACGGCTACAATAACAAGCTACGCCCAAAGAGTGTCTCTTTGGTCAGATCGACAACGCCTGGCTTCACGTTTGCAAGTTAAACGGGCAGAAACCCGGTTGAAACTCCCACGCCAGGCGCCAGGGACACTTCCCTCCCACGCCAGGCGCCAGGGACACTTCCCTCCGCCTTGCTCAGAGCAGAATTGGGGAATGGGTCTGGGCAGGGGGAGAAAAGAAGGGAGGGGTACGGGGTGCTGGAAAAGAGTCCCGATTCTCAGCGGCCCTCTAGAAGAAGAAGGAAGGGGAGCACCATTTTCTCTGGTATTTCTCTCATTTATTTTTTTCCACGTTGCTTTGTTGGCAGCTTTACCCAAATAAAAAAGAGAGAGAGAGAGAGAGAGAGAGCGTTTTCTCCTTCTTCACCTAGGTAGCTGCTTTCCTCCAGCCCCTGAAAGTGTGACTCCTTCATAAAATCAAAATTTGTGATTATTCAAATGTTGGGGACTGTGAAAAGAGAGGAAGAAAGAGAGAAAATTAATATTGCAGCTGTTCTTCTGATTAATGAGAGATAATTGCTCATGAAAAGTCACCCCTGTGGCATTTTGTTGTCTCCTGGATCTTTGTTCTTTTCCACTATTATTGAGGACTTTCTTGAAGACTAAGCGGTTCTTTTCAATTTTTGGGTATTCAGAAAGGGTTGCCTGGTTACAGAGAATGGGGAAATCTCGGGCTATATCGGGTAAGATGTGCCACAGACAGCAATATCACAATGCCACTTGGAGAAAAGGATGGATACAAGTTAACGATGCGCTTTCAATAAAACATTCATAGACTTGTTCACGCTTTGATAATGACCTCATTAAAGGGAGCTGGGGGCAAGTAAGTCCTGTCTCCTGTTTGTGTTCGCCTAACAAAACCCAGCTTTGAGATCATTCATCGCTTTGGAAACTAATATGAAATCAATGTAAGAGAAGCAAATAAATCCGAGGCGGCCCCGCCAACTCCCGGGTTGTCCCGCCCTGCTCACGGCCTCGGTTTGGGGCAGGAGAACCATGTGGGCAAACGCTGAAACGGAGAGAAAAGGGGACTAGGGATGCGGGGGGAGAGGGGGCTTTTGGGGGAGGACACTCAGAGGGAGGGGCAGAGTGGGAGTTACAGCCGGAAAAACCACAGAGTACATCAATGGGTCAGAACTCTAGAGCCTGTTGAATAAGCGATGCTAAGTCCCCGCCCTCAACTTTCTGTGACTTTGCCCAAGAAAAGAAAAAGGAAGGAGAAGGGAATGAGGGGTTCAAGTCAGGTGTGATCCCGGATTGGGGTAAAGTATTGAAAGCAACAACCAAGAATTCAAATCTCAAGTTGGAGCGTCCAGGAGCAGAAGGTAGCACCTCTGAAGTGCTTTGATTTTTTTTCTCAGTTGAGGGTAAGGGTGGGGGGTCCAGACTAGGCAGGGGTTGGGGGACGGAGGGAGACAATTTTGCTACCTTCGCATTTGTGACATCGTCTTGCACTCAAGGAAGACAAAGCCATCCTGTCATCCCGAGCAAAAGGGAGGAAATCAAAGGATCCCCCCGCCTTAAAAGAACTAATTTTCTCCTTGAATTATGAAAGCAATGGCTTAGGTAACAGCCTGTACTCTGTACCCAACTGCTTAATACCGAATAAATCCTTCCACGTGGCTCCCCGAGTCCTGGCAATTAGAGCTCATTATAGGCTCATAAGAGCTCTCATTTCAGGGATTACTTAATGGACGATGAAATTTTATCGGACAGAATCACTGAGAAATAAAATTGTGCAGCAGTGGGGGCCCTATGGGGGCATGCCAATGTCTTCCCAGGGTCCCCTCCTGCTCTGAGCTGATTTGAGATGCTGCTGTCCTGGAGAAGGTTCTAGCTGGGCAAAGCTGCCCACTGCCTTGGAGGCTAGGCTTCCTTGCGTGTGCGTGGGGGGCGGGGGACGGGGGTGGGTGGTAAGGCATAGTGGGGCCTGCTTCTGAAGACAGGACTGGAGTGGAGGAAAGGAGAGAGAGAGACAGACAGACAGACAGACAGAAGGGGAAACACAGAGATCCAAGGAGAACGAAAGAGAGGTCTAAGACTCTAATGTTGAACATGACACCTGGCCCCAAATACTTGCTCTTATTGGGCTCAATCAATTAACCAAGTATCCTAATAGGCAAATGTCTCAGCCATGGTCTGCTTTGGCCTCAGTGTGGCTCTAAACTGCTGTTCCCCTTGCAGCTCTAAGCAACCCCAAGAGCCTCTCACTTTTCTCAAAATTCCTTAGCGCTCCAACCTCACGTTTCTGTAGGCAGGTATGCATTTAGTTAGACTAGACTAGAGGCTCAAGCTTTGCAACTAGGATTCTCCGAGATAAAATGGTCCTCACAGAAGCACAACTTCCCACACATTAGCATAGTTCTTCCTGTGAACACACCCAGAACTGCTGGGAACATGGTGACCCACACCTTCAGCCCAAAAAAGATCTTGGATAACTTCTACCTAGTCCAGAGGAGGAAATAAATAACATATATTTAATTTGTAATATCTTATAAATATGTTATATAATTTTAATATTACTTGCAAGTGCATGGGAATATCATGTCATCTATTTGGACACTTTAGGCCTGTAAAAAACACCCTGTCATTGAGTTTCTCTCGATGGTGGAGCTCCCAGTCTTCTTTTGGGGGCTGGAATGATCCCAGGGACTGCCTGGATTCTCCTGATTTGATTCGAGTGAGGTCGGGCTGAGCATCTGCGATGGCTGCACCGGCAAACCTTGTGGTACAAAAGTAGTTACAGCTGAGCTGCCCTGAGTTAAGCCCTGAGATTCCTTAATTGTTGTCACAAGATGTTGGATTAACACATTTCTGGAATAGCTGTCTGTTTACACTCTGGAGACCCACCGTCCACTAACCACTTTCTAATTGAATTCTAATCACATTCAAATAGCTCAATAACCAGCCTCAGCTGCAATTCATAAAACTTTAATTGCCATCCATAAATCCTGGGCTCCCCAGAGCTGGGCGTCCCTACAACCCAATTACACTTCCCTAGCAGGCAAGAGAGACTGTCGCAGAGATGGAAAGGGAAAAGGAGGGACGGAAGGACAGGACAGAGAGACAGCCGTGCCTCCAGCTAAGGGCTGGTGCTCCCCTAGGATTTGAGCTCTTGGTTCTCACAGGTGCAGGAAGTCCTGCCCCCACATTTCTTAGCACCGCTGTGGACTCAGGCCTGAAATTAGCTGTTTCGGGGAAAGGGTCAGATTTGTAGCTGTTGTTCACCCTCCCTACTCCAGACAGATTTTCTACGGGGGCGGGGAGGGGGGGCGGGGAGAAGAGAAAGCTGTGGCCTTGCCTTCCCCAAAGATCAATAGCCCCATCTGGCAGCCACCCTTTCACGTAGCCACGGATGTCCAAGTTTTCCGCGGAACCCTGTGCCACTCATAGATGTCCTTTTCCAAACACTCCTGCCATCCGAGGCTGGATTCCTTGCATGGCTCGATTTCCTTCTATCTTTTTGGGGTTTTAAATGAGTGCAGAGGGGACAGTGCTTCCCAGATAGTCTGCCAGCTGCCCAAGATCTGTAAATGCGAAGATGCAGGAGGGAGGACCCAGAGCAAAGAGGGCTGGGGCTTAGGTCCTCTCTCCAAAGTCCTTGGATTTAGTTGGTAAGTGGTGGAACCATTTGGAGAAAGAACAGAGTGACGCTTCAACATCTCTCTTTGCCAAAGGGGGAGCCGCCCATTAGAAAGGGACACAAAGAAGGGTCATTGATCTGAGTAGCCCCAAGTGCAAAGGCATTTTAGAGCTTCTCGAAATCAGCATGAAAAGCCCGTCAGCTTCTTAGCTGGGAGGCCTGACTGTTACTCCCGGGATCCCTCCTGAACTACCCACATGAATGACCTTGGCCAAGGCCAAAAGCTGGGGGACTCCGCGTGCGCCCGAATGTGTGCCCATGGCCTAAGCTGTGCTCCGGACTGGGCTGCTGCCAGTCTTTGCCTGCACAGTCCTGCTCCAAGCTGCAGGCCTCACACTTTACCGCGCCTTCGTCACGGTTGGCACAGAGGAGCAGGGAGCACTGGGCATCCCTATTAAAAAGGCTTCAAAGTCTCCACCTGGTGCGCCCTGCGGCCGGGAGCAGAGGAGTTGGGCTGGGGCCCAGGATGGAGAAGGGGTGGGATGGAGGATTCAGCTCTGATTTCTCGGGAAAGCGTGGAGAAAGAGGGGGAGGAGGCCGGCCTCCCCGCGAAATTAACAAAACCTACATTTTGCAAAGTCTCCCCCCATCCCCCTCCTCCGAGTTATTCCCTGCCGCGCGCCCGCCCCTCCTCGCCGCTTCTGTTGTGTGTGACTCGGGCAGCCTATCCCGAGGGTGGGGAGCAGCCGAGGAGCCTGAGCCGAGCGGTACTCAACTGCATCACGTGCCGGGGTGGGGGCTATAAAATCCCGGAGCCGGGGCGCTGGGCGGGGGACCTCAGGACCAGCCCTCTCCAGGGACCCCTTTGTTCGCAGCCCAGACGCCGACACCTCCGCATCCCCAAGGGCTTGACTGGCTGCACCGGCTCTGCGCCCCGGGCAGAGCTCCGAACAGGAGAGGGGAGGGGGCGCCACAGCCTGCCTGGCCCTCCAGCCACCCACCCCTCCCGACATGTCGCGCTCCTTCTATGTCGACTCGCTCATCATCAAGGACTCCTCGCGACCCGCGCCCTCGCTGCCCGAGCCGCACTCTTGGGTAAATGCCAAAGAGGGGGATTGCTGGGTTGAAATCTTGAAAACAATGTGCTTAATATAAAATACCTTATTTCAAATTCTCATCCTTGATAGTTCAGAGTTTATCCAATAGCAATAATCAAAAGGGAGCTTGAAAATGACAACGAATTACTTATCAAATGCTCACTACCAGAGCTAAATTAACTTGGGATGAGAGGTTTTTTTGGGGCACACGCAGCACCACGCACCTGTCTGCGCCGCCACCACCTACAACGTGGCGGACCCGCGGAGATTCCACTGCCTCACCATGGGTAGGGCGGGGTCTTGGGGCACCTGCGCGCCGCGCCTTCTGGGCTCTCGGGAACCAACTTTTCGCCTGCTGTAGAGGGAGTGGGAGCTTGGGGGGCGGAGGGAGGAGGGGCTTTCGGTGTAACTGGGAAGAGGTCCCAAGAAGTTCCACGAAGGTGGAAGTTGGCTTCCCAGACTCTCCAAGGAGTCTGGTGCGCTTCATTCCTGGTCCCTGGTCCCCAAGTGTTTCGTAATATGGGGGCCTCAGGGACATCGAACTTGAGGGCTGAGCAACTGGCTGAGGTTTGGGGTGGGTGTGTTTGAACTTCAGTGTGGCACTCGGCGTGGGGTTGGCTAAAGCGTTTCCAGACTTTGGGCTAAGCTGGGTCGCCTCTACCTCTCCGCTAGGCCAGAAAGGAGATGATCTGACAATGCCAGCCCCAGCCCCCCTTTAATCCTTGGGCTTTACGTTCCCACACACCAAGGCCTTTCCGCGCTTTGGGCATCTCTGTCCTTCCAGACTAAGTAACGACGTGATAGGACGAGGGAAGGGTGAGGGATGGATACAGCTATTTGGTTGAGCTCAAGAAGGGGTCCTTGAGAGGCATCTTGTCCAAGGGATGGCACGGGGCTGGGGGTGGGGTGGGAGCGCGTCTCTCGAGAATGACCTCTCTGCCCTTCCTTGGCCCGCGTGCAGGGGGCTCGGACGTCAGCCAGGTACCCAATGGCAAGAGGATGAGGACGGCGTTCACTAGCACGCAGCTCCTGGAGCTGGAGCGGGAATTCTCTTCCAACATGTATCTGTCTCGACTCCGGAGGATCGAAATCGCCACGTACCTGAACCTGTCGGAGAAGCAGGTGAAGATCTGGTTCCAGAACCGCCGGGTAAAGCATAAGAAGGAAGGGAAGGGCACGCAGAGGAACAGTCACGCGGGCTGCAAGTGCGTCGGCAGCCAAGCGCACTACGCGCGCTCCGAGGACGAGGACTCCCTGTCGCCGGCCTCGGCCACCGAGGACAAGGAGATTTCCCCGTTGTGAGGGAGGGAGGGCCGCCTCCCTCTCAGCACCCGCTCCCGGGAGTCCCCACAAAGCCAATGCGGCAGGCACCCAGGGGTCAAATACGCGCCCGCTCCGTGGTCCCGTCCGCAGAAGCACGGAGCTGAGTGTTCCCAGGGCGTACCAGCCGGCCCATCCTTCGCGTCTACTCCTTGGCCTGTTTGCTTAGGTTCCACTCTCGAGAATGCGAATAGATTTTGTTTAAATGTAAATAACCTAGATTCAACTCAGTCTTGTCATATAACAGATAAAAAAAAAACATCATTGGCTTAAGTTTAGCACCGTCTGGGTTTTGTTTTTAAAGCGCTTGTCATTTTCCCTCCCCTACTGTCTTTCAGAACCTGATAAGAACACCGGGTTTCCTGACGATTTCCTTTTGTTTGTTTTTTTTAATAAAAGTATTGATATGCAAATAATTTAGAAAAGTAAAACCTGTAGGCCTTGCTTTCTGAAAACTTGCCTGGGGAGAGTTTAAAATCCAAGTGTTGGAAGTTCCTTTTTATGTGAATAGTTTTATATAAGATTATATTTATATTTATTTAAATAAATGAAACAAAATCAAGATTTTGCATTCATGGTGTTTGCTCTCACCCTCTTCCCCTGTCTCCCTCTCCCCAGGAACTGGGAAAAAAGTGTTTGTGAATTCAGATGGAAGTGTTGATTAAAACTGGTACCGTGGGGCACTTGGTTGAGGGAGGTTGGGGCGCTCTAGGATTTCTGTGTAACAGAAATTTCTGCGAAGGAGACACCTTCAGTCCTGATGCCACCTACCCGGAAGTCCTCCCCATCCTCAAAATAGCTGGCCTCCTCCCAGTGGACAGGACAAGTCACTCCATTTAGAGTGATGCTGACATTAATGACAGGCAAACCTTTTAATTTATTTAGTTAGAAAAGGTGAAAATTCCTTACCTGGTATTTCTTTTCTGTGGCAGCCCCCTTTTTCCCTTTTCCCTCGTCTCTCTTTATACTAAAATCAGAATTATGTGAAGACATTTGAATAGTTGCAATAGTTTTAGGAAGAGCACGATCGGTCAAAGCAGGTTGTAAGCACACATGGAAACTTACAAAGAATGCCGTGACTAGAAACATGGCCATTCCTAGTTGTTCCTCTAGCTAAGAAATTAGCGGTTCTCACCAATGCCAAGAAGACAAAAGTTACACTCTCACTTTTCTAAACGAGCTCAAATGTGCCTCTGGACTCTCGTTTTTATGTGGCTCTTTTCTGGTCTCCCTAACTTTAACCTGAATTGTCTCCTTTCTAGTCCCTCTCTCCCCATCACTTTGCGGAGTTAATTCTGCAAGCCTGTCCTGGAGGAGACTGGCTGAACCCTCGGCAGCAGCCTGGCGCTGCCAGGTCCTGGCATCTGAAAGAGAAACGGAGCTGGGCGCAGGGAAACCAGGGAGTCATTTTGTGCAAGCTAACGCTCACGAACACCCGTGGGTGTTATTTCTGATTAGTTTCTGTAAAGATTCCACCTAAGAGGTCAAACCACAGGAAATTTTTACAGACATACAGACCTCTAGGTTTGAATTACTTTAGGTCTGTCATCACCCACACCTCACCAGGTGGGCTTGGGGCTCTAAAACTAGGGGTCAGGAAGCTAATTTGGGAAGGAGGAGAAGGGAGGGAGGATGTGATACAGGTTTTCCCTTCAGAGTCTCTCCCTCTCTCCTTCCCTTCCTTCTCCTCCCCATGGGAGAGAGAAAAAACCCCTTTCAGATACTCCAGGCCTCTCCATCAATTCCAATTCGGGCACTGGCCCAGAGGGGCCAGAGGGACGACAGGCCTCACGGTGCCAAACTGAACACGGAGCGGGCGCCGCTTTGTGCAGCGACTTAACCTGGCCCTCCACAGCGGTCATGGGCAACCAGCTCGCCCCGGGGTCAGGGAGGCGCAGCCTCTAGGTCTCTCTCAAACGCAGCCTCCGGCCCCTCGCCCTGCCCACGGCGAAGGGGAGAGGGCGCCGGCCCGCTGCCTTCTCTCTAGATCCCGTCTCCCTCCTTCCCACTAGACAGGCCTCTCCGGGCCCCAGTACGCGGGTGGGAAGAAGTGACTGTCGAGGAGCAAAAACGGCGCCTTTAAGGAAAGTTCCTGCTCCGGATACAGAGCCCCTGCTGCCACTTTCTGCCCTCCTGTCCCACACTAAGACTCGCCTGGGCGGTGGGCAGACACTGCCTCCTCCCATCTACACTTGGCCGGCCCCCTCTGTCCCTGCGCTCGGGCCTGGCCCTCCCCAAGTCCTCGCCTGACGCCAGGCCCTTCTCCCTGAACGCACAGCCACCCACTGACCACGCCCGATGCTGCCAGCTCCGCCGCTGCCAAGGCGATGGGGCACCAGCCCTCCTGGACTGGGTTTGAGCTGCTTGCCTGGTCTCAGTCCCTCTCCCTCCTGTCTTCGGGGAAATTACTCAGGAAAGAGAGAGTAAACAATGAATCCTCACCAGAAGCAAAGAGATACAGGCAAAGATACCTATCTAGTCATTGGACGTTCTCCAAAGAAAGGTTCCCCAGGGTTTGGGGGTGAGGGTTGGGGTGGGGGTGGGGTATCCTATTTGTCCTAGGACATTCCGTGCCAACCGACCTTCTGATCACGTTCAGAGCGAAGCCTGAGGTCTCCTTGTACACTAGCGTGGATTTTCCATCCGCCCCCTAATCAGTTGTTTGCAAATCAGAATAAGGCGTTGGAAATCTGTCTGCTTTTAAAGGCCTACAGTTTCTCCTCAGGTTAAGAATACTTAGGCGAACACTCAGACACACAGATGCTCCGCTAACCAATCTTGATATGAAACACGGCCAGGGAAGCGTCTCCAGGTTTATTAAAGACTGTTTAAGAAATGTGGGGTCACCTGGACAACTTTGCTACCTGAAAAGCACTAGATGCCAGTTTTCACTGCCCCCTCTTGAGAAACAGGACTGGGCCCCTGTATTTCAGGGGCCTAGAGATACATAATGGAAAGAGAGAAAGAGAATGAGAATGAGAAAGCAGGACCTTGCTCCACTAAGAGAGAAGAAGTGAGCAGCAGGAGCCATTAGTGTGGTTGAGTCCGCCTCCCGGAGAACAAGTCCTTTAGCTTTAAACAGGAAAGGAGTTGGAGGGTCAGGGATGGAGAGCAGGAAGGATGACGTCCTGCCCTTGTGTGCTGAGCCAGTCTAGACATTCAGAGAAAACAGGAGGAGCAGAGACATTTCCCCTTCACCCACCCACTCAGTGACCAACACACACCCAAAGCCAACCCCACTCAGCAAGGCTTCCTGGTTTCACCCAGCAGCCCGTCCTAGGGTGCCCGTGGGCCCAGGTGACAGAGACACTGGTGAAGATAGACCCTCTCCCCTTATTCTGACGTGGTCATCACAGCTTAGTTCCCACCCACCTCATTCCTCCAAGGACATCTAAGAATATTTTAGGAAAAAGAGAAACTTGGGATGTCAAGTCTTTGATTTCTGGCTTCCTTCCTCCTCCCCTCATTCCCACTCCCCACCAATTCTACCTTTTTAAATCTGATCTGGACTAGAGATCTAGTTTGTTTGGTCCACCCTGACTGTGGTCAGGGAATTGCCAGAAAGGTGATTGCTCTAGCTAACAGAGGTCACAGAGAGCAACAGGGTCTGTGTGTATAGGTGTATGTACATGCATGTACATGGTTGTGTGAGTGTATGTGTGCATATGTATATGTGTATGTGAGAGAAAAATAACTTCATTGGCGGTAGTCAGGTTATATAAAGAGAAGAATTGCCCTGACCAGTTTGGCTCAGTGGATAGAGCGTTGGCCTGCGGACTGAAGGGTCCTGGGTTCGATTCTGGTCAAGGGCATGTACCTTGGTTGCGGGCGTGTGGGGAGTGTGCAGGAGGCGGCTGATCGATGTTTCTCTCTCATCGTTGTTTCTGGCTCTCTGTCCCTCTCCCTTCCTCTCTGTAAAAAAATCAATAAAATATATTTTAAAAAATAAATAAAAAGAGAAGAATTATCTGAGAAAGACAAATATCACATGATCTCATTTATTTGTGGGATCTAATGAACAAAATGAATTGACCAACAAAATAGGACCCGAGGCATGGAAGTGGGGAACAGACTGACACATCTCCATGTGGGTTTGGGGGATGAGAAGAGATAAGCCAAAGAATTTATATACTTATATGCATAGCCTATGGATGCAGGCAATAGGGTAGTGAAGACCTGGGGGGGGGTGTGGGTAGGGGCTGAGAGGAGGGGAGTAAAGAGGGGTAAATGGGAAATATCTGTAATACTATCATCAATAAAAATATATATATTTTTAAAAGCTAAGAGTTATTTTTACCAGGTTTCTTTCCCCTCCTCCCCCCCTTTTATACCTTTCCTGCAGGTTCCACTCATTTTTCATGGTACTTCTTGGGAGATTTTTTGGAGGGAGTTGGGAAGGTGCTCAGAGTTGGGTTGGCGGAAGGAATAAAAGCTGAACATTGAGGGGAGACTAGAGAGAGCAATGGGTTGGATCTTAGGCCAGACCTTAAGGGTGTGAGGGGCGGAGAATGACACTTCCAACAGAAGAAATTTGGTTTAAAGGAGCAATCCCTGCTTTAAAAGGAGCTCCTCCTATCCTCTCCAAACACAGCCTAACACCTCCTAAACATGAATGCAGCTCAGTGCATCAAGGCAATTGTTTCTATTTTCATTATTCACAGGGAATCTTTGTATGAACCTGTTAAGGTGACAGACCTCTTAAAAGAGAACATTTTTCCATGCAATTAAATGGTGCATTTACTAGGCTTCTATTAACATAATTTAATATAAATCTATTTTATAAATCTTTAGGCTCACATTACTGAAAATTGAACCTTGAGAAGAGGCGGGGATGCCTACATCTCTTTCCTAAATTAGGGGGAATCAATCCAAAAACTTGCTATTCTAAGCCAATGGAAATATTAAAAGTAAAGAAATATTTTGTATTGTCTTTTGTCAATGGTGGAGGCATGGAGAAAAGAAGCAGCTTTTCTCACAGAAAATGAGAAATTCCACAGAGATGCCTGCAGGGCTCCTATATTCGAGGCCCTGGGGAGGGGCCAACAAGAACAGGAATTTAAAGGCATTTCTTAGGAACAGGATGGAATCAGAGCTCAGATTGGGGGGAAAAACCACATTAAAACCAACCTTGACTCATATTTGGAAGCAAGTTTCTTCTTTTTGGGGAAGAAAAATCCGAAGCCTCAGACCTCACAGTCCTGAAAGCTACTCCATGTGGAGGTAGATATCCTTGTCTGTCCCCATAGCTGGCCTCCTTGTTCTCAAAGGCACCCTCCAAAATTCTGGGCATCGCATTGTCTCTGAAAACAGTGCTCTGTGTGCCCGTCTATTGACGTCCATGCTTGCCCTTCTGCACTGGGCATTGCTTTTCTTCAAGCTGAGCCCTATGTTTTCCTGAGCCTTTGTCGTATCTTTGTGGACCCTTCCAAATCCCAAACCCAGGAAGGCCCCAGGGACTCCTCTGAGTGAATCCTGACAGATCGGAAGTGTGTGCTGTGTGCTTAGGAAAGTAACTAGTTTCAGATTAATGAAGCAGTGACAATTTCAATCTGCTTAAAGGCG